TGGGAATCAAGAAGTCAGAGGAGGGGATTGATGATTTATGGTTGGTCTCAAGGAGAGCTAGTATATCAGGAGACTTCTCAACAATGTACGATTTCACACTGGAGAAGTTTGTCCGAATGCCATGGATGTTGGAAAAGGAAATGTTAAAGGGTTTGGGGGGGTTTTTGAGAGCTGGTTTTGGTTTTTTGATTGTTTGAGGTCATGTAGAGTAATGTTGGTAATAGAAGTGAAAGGCCTAAAGTAATAGTAGCTGACAGTCATCATATGTGATATGGGCAGAAATGAGCTGGCACATAATGTGGCCTCGGGGGTACCCACCAGAGGTACATGCAGGAACACCCTTCCATGTGTGACATGGCACTACAAGTACCCCGATATTATAGTCTAAGATTTCCACCAAGTTTCAGGATATATGAATCTAAATATAATTCCGGATCAGTAATTGTACAATAAATATGATTAGAAGTGAAGATGCTCAATAAATCAATAATATACCATCAGTATCCAAGAGTTGAACTTTTTCTGAGTATAGCAATATTTTCAATAATCCTAGTGGTAAAAATAAAGGATAGTGGAACTTAAGAGAATGATCACAATATTAACCTAAGTAAAATGATAACTGAAACTACCTCATTGTTATGTATTTCTTATCTATATATGAATTCAATCTTGTCATATATTATCCATTTATAATAGACCACATTGGCTTTTGTTTGTTATAGAAAAAATATCTTTTTTTTTTTACAGCCAGGAGTAAGATACGAGAACTGAATCACACTGAGCTGTGTAAAAGTATGAAAATCCTTTAAAAGTCTTATTAACTAACTAGATTAAAAATAAATTAAAAAGAATAATTAGCTCAAATTTTTACATCTTCAGAAAAATAAAGTGCAAATAATTCAATAAAAAATATTTTATAGGCTTTTGTCAGAGTACCAGAAGGATCAAGATTTTAAATCTGCTCAGACTAAATATACAATAAAAACTAAACATTCAAATGAAAAAAGATTTGGGATCTCTTTGAAATAATCTGAAAAGATATGCATGCAAACTAAATAGAAGAGTTCTACCTATAATCATGGGACTTGAAACTATTTTAAATACTAATTAATTAATAATTGATTAATTTTATCATTAAAGTGATTTTTTAAAAGGTATGCTAGGTTAAAGAACAAAAACAAACAAAAATCATGAAAGAAATATTTTTGGAGTATTTTTAGATTTAGTAATTTTTTAATTCCAGAAATGCACACATTAAAATTAGAGAGAGATGAGAGGAGAGGAAGAATGCAGGAAAAAAATGGCAGACAAATTTGTCTATCTGTAATTGTGCTTTCATTCTCTTGCAGAGTGTCAAAAATACATCAAAAACTCAAGTGCAGTGATGAGAGTTATAATAAAAAAAATCTTTTCACAAACTGTAATCATTTCTTTGGCAAAATCTTCTACAAAAGACAAAAGAGAGAAAAAAAAAAGAAAGCATGCAGACATTTTTCTGCAAAGAAATGATCAGCTATGTGGAATGTGTTGTGATAGGAGGTGGTCACTGGAAGCAAGAGAGAAACTTACCTGGTGATTCCTATCACAGTTTTGTAGTCTAACTGTGGTCTGCAGGTGAGAAAAATATTTTGTGCCTACCATGAAAGAAATAAAATACTATCCCCTACTTCAGATTACATTTTGTAAAAGAAGCTGAAGTTGGGAATTTCTCTATTCTTTCCAGTAGAGGAATTAAGAATTATACACACAAGCATCTTATATATTAAGTGAATTTTGAATCATAAATGATATATCAAGAAAATAATTTACTAATAAAAAGTATTTCACAAACTCCCAAATGTAACTCATAATAATGAAGTCATATAAAGTGAGAGAGAGAGAGAGGAGAGAGAGAGAGAGAAAGAGAAAGAGAAAGAGAGAGAGTGGACACTGAGGTCAACACCCAGCAGTGAAGGTCTGTTCCATGTTATATTTAAATGCAATCTTCAGGCCATCTGAACATTGTGTTTAGCATGAAACAAACTGTTGCCACTGAGGGTTGACCTCAACTTCCACTTTATATTTACTCTATCCCTGATATTGAGCACTTTGTCATAAATATAGCATAACTTAAAACTATATTTTTTACATATATATATATATATATATATATATATATATATATATATATATATATATATATATATACACACACATATATATATATATATATATATATATATATATATATATATATATAATAGTTCAGTTATAAAAACTACTTTGTTTTTCTTGACCATATAATTCAACAAAGTACAATGATTTTATTTATATTTTTAATAACCTAATTTTTCAGAACAAAACAGAGAAAATACATAAAATTTGTTTATGATCTATCAAAGCATATAGAAAAAAATAAAAAATATTTTGTTTATACACACAATTCACTGGGGATTAAATTAGATTTAATGCACTTTCACTATAAATTATGATTTACATGTAACCCTATACCTTGTAAGATGCAAAACTCTGAATTAAAAAAATACTCATTGCAAAGATGATAACTTTAAAAGTTGAATGAACTTAAATAAAAAAGTTCAAGAAATAATCAAGTGACTGAAAGATTTTAAAGTTATTTTTTACTAATTGTATGTGTACTACAAACGATTCTAAAATGTTAAAAATGGAATTTTAATGGACAGAGGGGATTTTTGCTTGAGATTTTGTCTGAGCTGTTAATATTCAAGGGGCCTATTTTGTTGGTAAGTTAATTGGCTGGTGTTTAAATCCATGTAAATAAAAGCCATAATTTCAAATGCCCTCCTCATTAGAGCAATAAAATCTTCTCCCTGCCCTCTTTTTAACTGTACAAAACTAAGCCTTTTAGATACAGAATTATTAATATGAATAAAATACCTTTTGAGGGTTCTCCTCACCTTTGCCTTTCTAATATTTAATTACTAGCTTCACCTGTAGAAATTACACAGGTGTTGACAATCACCTGGTAGGTGGCAGTGAGAGAAACACCCTATTAAAATGAATTTCCATGATATTCACCATCATAAAGCTATAATTAGGATAACTACATGTATTGAGGAATAGCACAAAGTATTATTATTGTTTGTAAGACCCAGGGAATTTCTATGGATGTTGATAACTATGATGATTCATAATCTCATGTTTCAGCTCTTCTCCCACCTTTTTTCCTGTATCTTCGCATACTCCCCCTTATCTCATCCAAACATTGTTGCTCATCAACATATTTTTATCTAAATGTTATACAAACATGGGTTAGTTTCATATGCTCACAAGTAATAAGGAATGCACACATTTCTTTTTGCTACATCCTCTCTTTACCTTTCTTTTAATCCTTTTCTTAAAGAATGTTAATCTATCACAATTTTTACTTTTCCATCTCAACTTGCCTTTCAATTCTTCATTGTCTCTTGATATCCAGCCAGCAAGCCTGTTTCTATGTTTTCCTTTCCTCTTCATCCCTTCCCCACTTTTCTATATGTATATTAATTTTTTTCCTTTCACTTTGTTTTCTTTTCATTTTTCTCTAGCTATCTTTACCTCCTATCTTTTCTTTTTCACACCCTCATATTCTCCTCCTTCTTCTCCTTTGCTTTTCCTAATTTTATCCTGCTTAATATTATTATGATAGTTTATCATCATAAAGTGTAACTAATTCTGGTTCAGAAGCATTAGAGATCAGGTAGATACTACGCTCTGGTCTAAGAAAAGATTTATGTTCATATGAGCAGAATAATAGTATAGATTCTACTCTCTGGATTTTACTAAGAGAATTTGTCTGAAAGGAAGCCTTATTGGTCTTTTTTTGTTTATAATTTGGTTTGCCATAATGTCAGTCATTTTTGTTGATTCATTGAGTTTTTTTTAATTCTTATTAATATAATAGTTGCATCACTTTTATTGACTTTAGCTTGGAGTTGGAATCAATGATTTTTTTTTTAATGTGTTGTTTATTTTGTTAACATTTGATATTCATATACATCTGGGAAAATGAAAATTTCTCAGCCTGTCCAACTTCCCAAAATCTGTTTACTAAAGAAATTCTGATGTATGTTCTTTTTTTAATCTTTTCTTGGTCAGGTTAAGAACTTTTCACCCTTTACCTCCATAGCCTCACTTTGTAGCGTATTGATTACCAACACAGTCTTTTGAGTTACTTTCATAATTTATGTTTTAGTACTTATTACTGTAATTAAAAAAATCATCTTTGTCTGGATTTGGTCATTTCACTATTATGATTTGCAGGTCTATGCTTAAATTCAGTTGGGTCAGAATCTACTTATGTATATAGTGCGAATTAATAAAATGAGTATATATCTTTTTATCTAAAGAAAAAAAAGAGGCTATAGCTATTTGCAAAATTATCTAAAAGCGAATTATTGAACTAGGCTGGGTTTAATCCATTAATAACAAATGAAAATTTTTGTCATTGTAGTTCTATGGCTCAACTGCAGTTAATGGTTTAGATATTTTTTTCAAATGATCAAGTGCATTTAACAATGTCATTTATGAAGCTAGTTTTTATTAAATCTTGATGTGAATGATTGCACATACAAATTTTGGTTGCAGTATTTTATATATAATCATATTTCATAAAAACAATATTCCAAATAAAGCTAAGAACATTTTTAAAAAAAGTACTAAAATGCAAGAGTAGGAAGCAAAGGGTTAATCTTTAAGTATATGTAAAGTGTTTAACAATTCTCCCATTCATAGGAAGATTTTTATGAAAAAGAAAAAAATGAATGGTTCTGTAAAATTAACTCATATTTTTAACATAAGGTGATCAAACTTACTGTTCCAAGAGCAAAGTATAATATTGAGTGGTACAGAAAAAATATTTTACAATTGTTTAAAGAAGATGGGAAATTGCTCTGGATGAGAATATGAAAAGATTAAATGTGAAGCATGATTGTTTTCATCACAAAATTATGATTAAAAAAAAGACTGAATAGAATAATAATACAAAACAATTCTTAACTTACTTTTTTTTGCCAGTGGGTTGAACTGCAGTTGCCAGAAGGTGTTTATACTCCTCGGAACGTAAAAAGCGAGCATAACTATCTTTTTTCATTAGTGTGTAGATGTGAGATTCTGCTGGTTCAAATGTATACCTGAAAAACACACACACACACACACATATATATATATATATATAGCAATAAAGCTTAACAATAAAAGAATTTAGACAAAAATGTATTTGTATTAAACATTAAAATCTTGCAATTTATTTTCATATAGGCTAATCTTTATTTTGCTAAAATTATATTTTGTATTTTGACTTTTTGGTATGTAATTCAAAGAATGATTCTGAATGATTTAAAAAAAAAAAAAAAAAAAAGATTTGTTTTTTTTTTTGAAATCAAAAAAAAAAAAAAAAGTTTTTGCTGTTTTTAGCAATCCACTAACTTTCAGTTCCCATATAGTTTCTTAACCAGTGGTTTTTAAATACATTACTTTCCTGGTATACAAGTGAACAAACTACTTCATGGATTGAGGGAACATCAAGCAGAAGTTTGGGAAAAAGAGTTATGAGTTTCAACCTTGTGAAAAACACCGAACATGAGAAAATGTGGAAAGAAAAGGTTTTATTGAAAAAGTTACTTTAAGCAACATATACTACAGAAAGATATTCACATTTGCTTTTCAAAATGTTGAGGAAATAAAAATGATAGACAAAAATAAGTTATTTAATGAGAGATTGTACAGTATTCTTCAATAATATTGTTTTTAATTTCATTTTTCAACCTGTTCACTGCAAAGTACTTTTTTAATATTATAGGAATAACATCATCATAGGTTATCTTGTTCATAACAGTGAAAAAATTATGTGCTTGATTTTTTTTTTTTGGCACTCACCTAGAAAGCTTCTTTTTGAGATTCTGTTGAACTTCTTCCATTGTTTTGCAATCAATGTTGATTTCACAAGGTGCTCCTGGTGCTAAAAATTCTTTGAAGATACCATCAACTTTTTGTGGCACCTGAGACTGTGGGCATGATTTGAGTTCCTTGCAACTCAGCCAGAAGCGGATGTTTTCATGGCTAAACTCTTTCTTGAGAAAAGATTCAAAACAACGCAGACCAGCTTTGTCAGAGAGCAATTCGTGTAAGCTGAAGCTCCACATTTTTACACGTTTCTCAGTTGGTTGATCACTAAAAGGTTAAAAAAAAATTTAAATCAAATTTATCAATCTACTTGTAGCAGCCTGATTCATTAATTTCATTAATTCCTAACTATTGTCAACTACATTCTTTCTGATTTTATCTAGTAAAATTATTTGCAATGTATTTGCAATTTGCTATAGAAAATCATTGGTAATTTATTTACATTGTATATATGTAATAGCCCTATTCTGTCGTTAACACAAGCATTAAATCTTAACTAAGTTTTGATTTGTTTTTTTTTATTTTACAGCTTATCAACTCTTTGTGGGTTATTTAAAGCCAAAACATTTTGAATTGTAAGAATAATTCTTTTTTTTGTGAGGAATATTGTATGTACAATTTTTTGAGAATAACTATTTGTCCTACTATTTAAGCCCCCATGGCTTAAATAGTAGGACAAATAGTTATTCTCAAAAAATTGTACATACAATAGGGATACAAGAAGGATTCATACCTTTCCCAAGAATATTTGTGCACAAGTAAATGTAATGAACCCAACTGAAATTTGAACTCAGCCCTGTGATTTCTCATTCCAAGCCGCTATCCATTACACCACCTGCACATTCACTCCTGACTTAGGACAAAACTTTTTCTGATTTTAAATATGCACCATGAAGATTATCAAAACTTGCTAACATTTTGTGTTTAATCATCAAAATTCCTAATGTCAAAGGTATTTCATTTGTCAGTGCAGAAAGTTACTAAAGTTAAATGGGAGAGTGGTAAAGATAGTGTGTATATATATATATGTATATATATATATATGTTATTTTTATAAATACAATTATTTAAATAAATGCTCTGTTTATAATAAACAGTATTAATTACATTTATCAGCCTGAATGTTCGAGAAATTTTGTAGAAAATATATGTCCTCCGACAGGAATTGAATCTGTATCCTACATGGAGCTGTCATTTAGCCCGACTGTGCTATATTATTTAGCTACAGAGAAAACGTCTGGTTAGCAAAGTTAAATTACTGTTTTTAAACAACAAAATTTCCCAACAAACATGGTTAATTTAATGATATATGAACTCTTGCTGGGTTAATTTATGCTAAAGACAAGTCCTCTAGGACAAAAATCACAATGTATTAAAAGAAAGATCTGGTTTGCACCAGAGTCAAAGCAGTAGACATTACTACATGCAATATATGAATATCTACAAGGAGGTTTTGAAAGTTCTCAACCCAACCCACTTCTAAGAATCTGATCAAAGGATCAGACATCAGAATTTGTTTTGGAATTCCTTCTTGGCTGGACAGAGAACTCTTAAAAATCCTCATGTACATATAAATACATACATATGCAAATATAAAGGAAGGTATTAGTGTGTGCATGTCATTCAGGAAATATTGAAGTGTAAAGGGTGATTCTGAATAACTTGTACATAATAAATATTGCTTATCAAAAAGAAAAGTGTATCAGATTTTGTTAATACTTTTATTTTGAAGATCACTGCAAATAAGCATCAATCATGGATGCTTAAGAAATGATTACTGAAGCATGACATTATTTCTCAAAATAGGCATTGCTCTAAAGTGTTAGAAATAGTGAGTTAAAATAATTCAACATAACAGCAAAAATTAATCTCACCAATTAGCATTTGCTGTCCAGATGGTTGTATCATCTGAAATCCAGGGGTTAGATGGTTGGGGTTGATAGAGGAATGGATCAAAGTCATGATACTGTTGTACACGACTCACATAACTGAAATAAGAAGTCAAATTATATGCAAAATGAATCATATATATATAAACAAGATTATACTTTTATAAACAGGAATTATAAGATTGACTGTACATTCATCATAATGTCAGGGTTTATAGCAAAAATCAAAATCCAGGCTATTCATGGATTATTCTGGCCCATAAATAGATTTTTCAAGGTTAAAATTTGCTTTTTCAAGGTTTTTTTCCGACCAAAACAACAGGTGTTGGTGCTCAAGTTGACCCCTAACAATTAAACAGGGGAGCCAGTTGGGTAATTAGAACTACTCATACTTCCAATATCAATATCTCTTTTTTACAAAGTATTTGTCTAGCAATACTGGTGATGAATGTTTTCACAATGCATAGAATGCTTATTTTGATTCATTATGAAGCTGAAATAAATTAGATAAGAATACAAAATCTCTGGGTACATATATAGAAATGGGTTTGTCATTTTACCACAAAATGCAGTTTTATTTCATTTTATTTAGAATTTTTATATATTCTTTCCTGCTTTCAGTTACAGTAGCAGAAAACAAGATAATTCTTCTTGTGATTTTACATGCATATTAACATAACGTTTAGAATTATAAAGAGGGAAACTTAGCCAGTATTATCCTCATTCTCTACTTATTAGCTTTTATGGATAAACTACAAACAAAAAGCATAATTAAAATGAAAAGCAATGAGAAAAGAAACATGGAAAATTTGATTAATGCCTTTTTTTGATGTTCAACCATATTGGTAAATTGAAAAAATATAATGTAAAAGTTTAGATTTTATACTTGATGTTCAAAATGATTTTTTGATTTATGTTCAATTTTTAAGTTTAAAATTCATCTTATTCATTGTAACTTATTAAATTTTAAGGCAATGCCAACTCTTCTTGATCTAGATAATTATCATCTTTATATAAATAATGAATTATATAACAATTATTTTTATATTCATATAGATATTTTTTATTCTATAAAAATTTCTGTTGAAGGAAGCAAAGTGATTATTTTTACTATAATTACAGGGTGTCCCTAAAGTTGAGACACATAAGAAATCTCATTAACTATATTTTTTTTACCTCCACAGATTAAACATGGTTTTGTCAAAAGAAGAAAGAATGGACTTATTTTTCTGGGGTATGTTAAAGAAGAAGGTGTATTCAATGAAAATCACAGATGCAACACACTTGATTGAATGCATAAAAAGTGAATGTGCTAAAATTGATGGCAATGTGGAATTATTGCATTGAGTTTACATGAATCTTGCAAATTACATCAATCTTTGTATCACAAATGTTGGAAATCATACTGAAGAGGTTATTTGTTAATATTCCAATTCAATAAAATGTTGAAAATTTAATTTTTTGAAAATATGCATTTTTGCCAATGTATCCAGACTTTAAGGACACCCAGTATAATGCTATGTTATGCTACAGAATACCACAAAAGATATAATTGTATATCATGGAAATAACATTATAGAATCCAAGCATGGTATTTTTTAAAATGCAATTCTTATCAGTTAAATATCATGAAATGAGCACATTCATCTTTCATGGTAAATTCAATTCTCACAGAGTGCCCAATATTTATGGCCTTGTGCCACCCTAAGCTAAGCTTAGCAAATACCTAGGCCAAACTGAGATAAAACATTGTAAAAAAAAAAAAATGATGATGAAACAAGCTTGATACATCTCTGCTCTAATCAGGAATATAATTATTATTAAAAACAACTGTATATGATAATTATTTTTATTTGTGTATCTAGAGCATGAAATTATTTTACTGTAATCAGACAATGACCAATTAACATATTTTGTTTCAACTGGTCTTGCCTGGATATGGTACATTTTTTCCTGAATATTTTTTTCATTTAACAATTGATATTTGCTTGCATTAAACCAAACGATGACAATATTTGGAAATTAAGGAATTTAAGAGTTTCATAGAATTTGGAATTATATGCTAGTCACTTCAGTGAGCCATAGAGAATGAAAAAGAAAGAAAACAACTTGCAATGATTTCAATGAAGTAGTGATATATTTGGATAGCCTCTGGCAGTTTACATTAGACCACTTGTTACATGGGAGAGCAAATACTGCCTGCTCTTCCTTACAGGTTTCTTGAAATATATATGGACAATGAACCCCAAGTGATAAACAATTTTTAATAGTAGAAGTGAATATAAAATACAATGTGTCAACTGAAAAAGTTTTTTTTTCATTTCCTTGGTTATCAAGTTATTCATAGAAGTTAAATACAATAAATTGTATAAAATCTTTTAGGTGATACCAAAATTAAGCAAGTACGAAAATATAAATATCTGGGAAGTGTTTTAACTGAGAATAAAAAATCTGACACTGAAATCTGAAGATGCATCAGAATAGCAAAAGGTACCTTCTAAAAACTAAGCAAAGTATTAAGAGAGAGGAAAATTTCAGTAGAAACAAAGAAAAGAGTTCTGAACTCTTATGTAATATTAGTCCTCCTATATAGCAGTCAATGCTGGACAATTTTTCACAGACTTGTGAGGCAACAGAAATAGGGTTCTACAAAAGGATGCTGAGAATCCCATGGACTGAACGTGAGAGTAACAATTAGGTTTTAAGGAAAATGGAAATAAAAAAAATGTTTATATTTAGAAAGAGGCAGTTGAAATTTCTAGAGCACATAATGAGTACAGAGTGATTGTTGAATTTGATACTCACGGGACATACTGAAGGCAAGAGGGACAAAAGAAAGGAGCAAGTAATCTACCTAACAAGCTTGTACAAATGGATGACAGAACAGAAAATGAGAGGGATAATGAAAAGACCAACCTTACCAAGAGCTACAAAGGATAGGAAGAGACACAGCACAGAATTTAGCAGATACTAACAACATATTTGTTTTTTCTTTGAATGAAAAAAACCCTAAAATATATGTTTAGGTCCATTGATTCCTTTATACTTCACACAGTTAAGGCTGACACAGATCAAGGTTTTCTGAAGCTGAAAAGGAGGTTCTGGAGTATGAATGATCTTATGAGGAAATTTAATATTTGGAATCTAAAACAGAGTTATAATCAACATTGCTATAGAAGCACATCCATTTTTGCTTAACATTTATACCAGCAAGTTGAACAGAAAAATACTACCTGTGTTCCATTATAGTTATTACATTTGCATACAAATTTCATACACTAAATGTAACAGCTATTACAGGACATAAATAATAAAAGAAAATAATGAACTAGATATATTAAAAAAATGCAGTTAAGACACCTGATACCATTAAAAATTTATAACACTGTGCCATCAATCTTCTTACTAACCTTTTATCTGTCTGGATTCATTTGTACAAATTTTATTAATTTGTAATTATCTTCTCAGTTGATTCAACTTTGTTTAAGTTAGATTATTGATTATCTATGTAAAGTCATTCCTTTATCAACTTATGTACAGAATGTATTCATGCATTCAAAACATAAACTATGCAATGGTCAATATTTTATAATAAACCAGTAAACTACATGAACAAGTTAGAGGATATATATATATATATATATATATATATATATATATATATATATATATATATATATATATATATATACATACATACTCTGTGTGTGTGCATTTTGTTTAAAATTTGCTATATTTATGAATGTGTGTAGTGTAACATTTGTCAGTGCAGAAAATGGAATCAAAATTTAAATTTTGACAGAGACTGTTTTGTTCACTTTACACTAATGCCTTTAGAAAAGGCATGAATTTATTTTTCTTCAACTATGGGTTAAATAGCAAAGCAGATTAGGCTCTCTTGCCTTTAAAAGGAAAAACTGAATTGAAAACCCTCCCTGAAGAGGAATAATTTTTTCAGGATATCTTCTTCTAGACATACTCATTTTTGCTATGGACACAGTGATATCCCTATGACCCTAATAGATTATAAAACTCATGATCATAATATTTATGTAGGAAGAGTGCTCACAATTTGGGATAAAGTGTATGTAGATAAATGGTCTTATCACTTAAGGTATGAAAAAACTGCCAATCACCATGATTTTCTATGTCTATATATATATATATTAGTTGTGTATTTGGGCAGCAATCTTATACACTGCTTACAATAGCACTTACACATCATTATGGCTTATAAATTTCAATGCCTTCAAAGCAAAACTCCTTTCATTTAATCATCTTAGAGAACATTTTTTGCCTTCCATCAACATGGCTGATGCTAATCTTCAGGAGAATAACTTATTGCATCTTCTCAATCTAATGTTTTTCACTGATATGAAGTAGATTATATTGAATCATTTGCTAGATCTGCTGCTATGAAAGTTGGTTTACTGTTTTGTTTGATAATTTTTCTTAACAGAATCAATCTTACACCTTTATAAGTCTACCAATCATCTATGCATTAAATATTCACCTCCAGTTTGGTGCTTCTAGAGATTCTTCACAATATCCTAAGAAGAATCTGTGATGTTATTGATCCTAACCTGGTATACTTTCCCACTGCTCTAATGTAGCTTCCCTGTGCCTTTTTTATAAATACCTTCATGGCAATTGTTCTGATGAACATTCCTATCTGGTACTTTGACTTCATGAATTTAAGTGCAGTACTAGATTAGCAGTTAGGTTTCATCATTTTATTGTTGAAATTGCTAGATATAACCATGTGATTTCTACGAATAGCTTCTTCTCTCACACTTCTCACTTGTGAAACTCTACCAGCTTCTTACAAACTATCATCTTCAAACATCAATTGTCATCATCTGTTTTTTGATTCTTGTTCTTTTATTGCTCTTTCTCCTCAATAACATTTTCTCAGTTTCTTTCACTATCAGTAATCCCCTTGTGTCTTAGTGGCTTTATTGCCTTTCTTGGGCTGAAACAAAACAAAAATCTCTACATTCACTAACTCCCAAAAAGAAATCTCTTATTTACATACAAGTAGGATAAATTCAACAGAAATACCTAGTCAGTCATTTTTAATGAAATATGAGTGGATTAAT